CGGGGAGACTATTAAAATCATTCCCAACTCGATCGATGCCTTCCGTAGTATCACCAGGCTATTCACAGCCGAAAAAGTCTCCTACCATACTTACGCTCTTTCGGAAGAGCGTAAAGTCAGGGCCGTCATCCGCGGCGTGCCATTCGAATTTTCCAACGAGGAAATCCTTGAGAACCTTAAGTCCCAAGGTTTCCCTGTAGAAGCCGTGCACAAGATGCACAGTAGAACGGGCCAGAGGTTCAACCTGGTCCTAGTCATCTTAACTAACGTGCCGGAGGCAAAAGCCATCTTCCGGCAGGTACACACAGTGTGTGGCCTGTCGAGAGTGAAGGTTGAGCCCCCACATAGGCGCGGGTTCCCGGCGCAGTGCCACCGCTGCCAGCTATATGGTCATGCGGCGGCCAACTGCTCTGCCCCACCCAGGTGCGTTAAGTGCCTTGAACCCCATAACACTAAAGATTGTCCTCGGCCCAAAGACGCCGAATCCCCACCCGCGTGCGTCCTGTGTAAGCAAACAGGCCACCCGGCTAACTACAGAGGCTGCCCTTGCGCACCTCATCCTCGAGACACTAGACGATCTAGGATCCGACCACCGACCGGTCTCTCTCATTCTTGGCCATCAGCCACCACTCCCAACACCCTCTACTAAAACCTTCACAAATTGGAAGGGCTTCAAGGAGTCCCTAGCGAAAACTCTGGACTCACAGAACTCTCCCATCTCCCTATCGTCTGACTTAGACAGTCCCGAAAAAATCGACACCGCGGTCGATTCACTCTCCACCCTTATTAAAACCTCCCTTAAGGAGAATGAAAAGGAAGTCCCGGTTGCTAAGAATAGTGGGCTTCCCCTACATATTAGCAACCTATTAAAAGCCAAGAAAGCTGCTTTCCGGAGAGCAGCAAAATATCCCACGCCCGAATATAGGCGCACGGCCAATCGTCTTCAACGAGAACTCCGTTTCCGCCTCTCTGAATTTCGAGACCTCGAAAAGAGTAAACTCATGGAGAATATATCTCCCTCTCATACAGCGTACTATCAGATGGCTAGAGCCCTCCGTATAGACGCTATAACCCACACTCCCCCTCTCTCCCGCCCCGACGGTTCGGTTGCCTTCGAGGACGAGGAAAAGGCTGAGTGCTTTGCAGACAGTATTGCCGCTCAATGCTCTCTTAGCTCTCAACCCGTCGACCCTTCACACGTCCAGGCAGTGGAGGATGAGGTCCGCCGCCGGAACTCACCCCCTACGGCCTCCGAACCTATCTCTGTGTCCAATGATGAGATTTCATCCCTCATTAAAGGACTTAAACCTAAAAAGGCTCCGGGCGCGGATGGCATATCCAACCAAGCCCTTAAAAACTTTCCCGAGCAGGTGTTAACCCTTTTATCTATTATCTTCAACGCCTGCTTCAACCTTAGTTACTTTCCCACTACGTGGAAAGAGGCAACTGTGATTGGTATTCCCAAGCCAGGCAAGCCTCTCAACCTCCCCTCCAGTCATCGCCCCATTAGCCTCCTCAAGGCCATGGGCAAGCTCTTTGAAAGAGTCATCCAAAATCGCATGAGGCGCCATCTGTTTCCCACAGACGGTGACCCTCTTATCATTCCCCATCAATTCGGTTTCCGAGCGAAACACTCCTGCCCCCAACAAGTTCACCGTATTGTGGAATATATCCTCAGCGGTTTTTATCCCCGTCGTCATAAGATTATCGCGGTCTTTTTCGACATCGCTAAAGCCTTCGATAGAGTCTGGCATACAGGCCTTATCTACAAACTATACAAAATAGATCTCCCCAATCGTCTAGTACGTCTCGTGGCCTCTTATCTTAATCATCGTACCTTTCGTTTTAGACACGAAGGCACGCTATCTTCACAGCGCTTCATCAAAGCTGGTGTCCCTCAGGGCTCAGTTCTTGCTCCTCTGCTGTACATACTGTTCACCAACGACATTCCCATTCCGCCGAAAGGTGTTCAGCTCTCCCTCTTCGCAGACGACACTGCTCTCTACTGTAAAGGTATCTCGCTACCTTTCATACGGAACAAGGTCCAAAAGTCAGTTGATGACCTAGGAGCTTGGTTCAAAAAATGGCGCATCGATGTGAACCCGGAGAAGAGCTCCGCCGTTCACTTCGATTATAAACGACGCCGTCTCAAAAACACTCCACCAATACGTATGCTAGGGACCCCTGTCCCCTGGCATACGTCTGCCAAATATTTAGGTGTCACTCTAGACACAGGGCTAACTTTCAGGCCCCACGTCAAAAGAGTAACCCGTCACGCACGTTTTTACCTGAATAGGCTCAACAGTATGTTGGGCCGACACAGTAAAATGTCCCTCAGAAACAAGCGTACCCTTTATAAGGTCTGTATACGACCAGTCATCTCCTACGCGGGCCCCATTTTCGCCCACTCTAACCCTAAAATTATTAATGAACTCCAAGTAGTTCAAAACCTTTTCTGTCGTCGAGCTGCGAACGCACCTTGGTACGTCCGCAATGCCGACCTTCATCGGGACCTAGAGTTCCCTACAATTCAACAATTCCTTAAAAAACTCTCTGAGAACTTCTTCAAAGCCTCAGAGTCGCATTCCAATCATTTTATTCGTGAGGCTGCTAATTATGCAGCCCCACTCCCCTCCCGCTATAGCGTCCGCAGGCCGAGGAACTCCCTCTCGGACCCGCCTAATAAACTTTCAAACGACCTGAACTGCCTCCTGGCGGCTCAGGCCAACTTTAATTAAGTTATTCATAATTAATTTGCCTTCGTAGGCACTCCCTCAGCGGCTAATAGCCGCCTGTCGCTTCCGATACGGCATAAGAAGCTTTAAACAGCTAGTTGCCAGTCCCCAAAGGCGGTTTTAGTGGGTATCACTTAGGTTCCCCAGTAGGTAGTCACAGTGAGTCCCACATAACCACGATAGACCGGCTGTCGTGGTATGCGTAATGCATTTCCGCCTCCCTTCGGGGTAGCCCTTTTCCAATTGCTTCGGGCGCAAAAAAAAAACGTGCATGGAGTATTGAGGCTATACATAGGCTGGTGCTGAAAAATGACAACTAGTGGCTTTGGACATAATAAAAGGCGTAAAGAGGCTGAATGGTGAGGCCAATATGGCTATAACTAATCTTAATAGTTTTGAAAACAGGGAAAACTAAGGCCTTTTGGTGTTTTATAGGATACATTTCGGAAAGTGTGCGCAGGAATCATATAAAATAATTCTGACCTCTCCATTCAATCATCAGACCACTAGATGTTAGTCTAGTCTTCATCTATTTGTTGCAGACATACCGCACATCAGGTAAAATTCACCGTCTTTGGCTGCCTCACAACTTACCATCAGGTGGCATCGTAGTGAAGCATTTTTATATATTTTTATAAGGTAAAAAAGGAATGCCAGGAAGAACTCTTAAATATCATAAAACTATAAAAGTATAGTATTAAGACTATCGAATATAGATATGTCGTTTGAATTTCATCGCCAAATAGCAGTAGCAGTATTACTGGTATAGGGAGGATATAATCACAGGCTGGAGGCATTCCATCGTAGTCCTCTGAGGTGACAACGCATCCGTAGTCTTATTTATTTGGAGTTGGTTGCAGGTGTCCACGGCTTGCAAAAGCCACGTATAATTAAGTGAACTGGAAGTTCATTTGTACTTCAATGTTATAAAAAAAAAGATCATTGTAAAGTATTTAGACCAGCGACTCTGAAAAGAACAATGTACTGGATCGAAGGAAGACTAAGTAGGGTTTTAAAACACACTAACATAGTTTGTTCAAGAAAATATAGGGAGCGAATTGTTATATTCTTTTCGAATATAGACACAACAATAGCACTAAGATAGAGAAAAACAGTTTTTTTATTATTATGTAAATGCAAGTATAAACATTCCTCGTTTATATAAGAGTACATATGATGCATAAAAGTGCACTAATATACCTTTCAGGTATTTACCAGTCCACCTAATGGTAAGTGAATTCTACATCTAATAGATATCTGCAACCAAATTCATACAAAAACGCTACAGAGGCGTTGTCACTAAGATGGAATGCAGTCTTTTCTTCCTATTTAAAAAAAATGTAATATCTACACTAGAAATTTTTCTTATGTTGTCGGGGCCAGTTTATATACATAAACTTCACAAGGACAACAATCCAGACTCGAAACAAATACTTGTAGGCAAATATAAAACAACTTGTTCCGTACGGGATTAAAACCCGCGGCACTCAGCGCTGCAACTCATTGCTAAGCCAACACGCCACAGTTCCGCCTAAAATTATACTCTCTACACCCTACATAACAGAATTAAGCAGTGCACGTATTACTGCTTAGTTGCAAGAATAATACTTTACTTTTTTCAACTTTGATTGAAAAACTATCTCTTTCTCGACCCAAAATTTACACTAAAAGCAATCGAGGATTTGTCTGCTATGCACTTACTTATAAAAGGCAGCGGTAAATATTTTTTTTAAATTAAGCTCCAGTTTGTACATTTATTCATATGATTATTTCAGATGTTCGATTTTGGTTTAGTTCTGTATGTGTATATTGACATCAATGTCATCGACTTCAGATCTAATTCCGGTCACGGCGGCCAGTCTTAACAGAGACTAGCCATTTGACCGGATGCACGGGTGTACTCTATTCCCTCACTTTCATAGTCCGATGGAACAGTAATACAGTACGACCGGGGAGAGGTGCTTTCCGAGGTGCGGGTGTGAAACATGACCAACTTCCTGACTCCGGGCTGCTACTGAGAATTTCTAGAGAGAAAAACCCGATAGTTGATATTGGTCTGACCTGGGATCCAAAACCAGGATTTAATGATCAGCAACCACGTTCAAGAACACGAGGAAGTCATAGTATTAAATAATATATTAATATTTTGGATAAAATATAAAACGGGATATAATGAAATTATAAGTAATTAATAGTATTATATTTAATTTTTACAATTAATAAATACTGAAATCCCACAAGAACTTATCCAAATCGCCTAATTACCAGCCGCTAGAGTAACCACCGTGTCCACTTCCAAATCCGCCACTGTATCCGCCACTGTAACCGCTACTGTAACCGCCGCTGTGTCCGCCACCGAGTCCGCTTCCGAATCCACCGCTGTATCCGCCGCCGGAGGACACTAATCTGTTCTCAGTTACAACTTGGGGCACGGAGACGACCTTGTTTACGTTGACTACTTGGGGTACGCTCACAACTTTAGGGACATTCACAACTTTGTTGACGGTGACGAGCTGAGCTGACGGCGCGGAGTAGCCGCCGTGGCCGGAGTAATCACCGCCAAGCGACAAGCCGCCTCCAAGGCCACCAGAGTGCAGTCCTCCGAGGTAGCCGCGCTTCTCGCGCAAGCTAGCACCAGTCGCACACGCCACCAGGCACAGCACTGCAATCTGAAAATAATGATTTATTTTATAGAATATGAGTGACAAACGTGTACACAGTCTACGTGATGGTAAGTGGATGCTGTGGCATCTACATAAGCAACTACATTTATCCTCAATTGAGAATCAAAATACAGCAGTTTTTATTTTACGCTGGTATTCTGTGAAAGTATAGTCCTACCCCAGTCGAGCCGACCTATTTGTCCTACAACCATAATATATCTGCAGCGAGGCAATAAAAGTAGTTATAGTGACAACAATATCTAAAAACATATCTTAATTTTATCGTCGGACAGACATTTATTCAGTCATTGGTATTCAAAAAGTCCTATCCAAAGAGTCCACCGCTGAAAATAATTTCGCTAAAGAAAAAATACTTGAAAAGCATGTCGGCAACCGCAAGTTTCGTAGTTTTTAGTTGTTATCAGAGAAATCCTCCTGCCCATGTCCTATTTAATCTCCCTGGTCATTTCTTATGATACCCACGGGATAGTATGGGGTAGAAGATTCTCTTCTATAAGCTGCTGCGTCGCTTATAAGCGTACAAGAACTTGTGACGACTGCCTCCTTGGTCTAGTGGTCATAGGCGCGTTTGCTTACTATGTGGATTCGTATCCCAGGTCGGCCAAAAACAGTTATCGGGTTTGTCTGTCAAGATATTCGCAGTAGAAGCCCAAAGTCAAGGTAATGGTGGCGATTTGGCACCGTCCCTCAGAAAGCCACAAAAATCTGTAACCATCTGTACGTATATAGGAGGCTGTATCTTTACTTCTACTTTATTTTCTTATAATCATATATAGGACTAGCGATACGCCCCGGCTTCGCACAGGTGATTTCTGGATCTTGATAATTGCACTACCTTCTGGGTTCAGTTGTAAATTTAAACTATTCAGGAACCTCAAACACACGCAAAAAATTAATCAAATTTATCCTTATAGTTAGTTTAGTGACAAAAATATGTACAGAAGAATTACATTCATATATATATATGAATGTAATTCTTAAAAATGAAATAAACATTTGTAGGGGTGTCAGACAGGGAGATCCCTTATCAGCAACAATATTTATCACCGTGCTTCAAAGTATCATTAAGAAACTTAACTCGTCCAAAAAAGGCATAAATATACAAGGAAAATACTTTAGTAACTTAAGATTTGCTGACGATATATTCTTATTTTCAGAAACAGCATCACACCTAGAAGAAATGATAAAACAACTTCATTCTGTCAGTCACGCTATTGGTTTGGAATTAAGCACAGATAAAACTTAAATATTGTCCAACAACTAGGAAGGCCCATTGAAGTAAACAACCAAACATTGGAGTATGTTAAAAAATATGTATATCTAGGTAAAGAGGTATCTTTCAAGAAATCTAGACACCGTGATGAACTTAACAGACGTGTGAATTTGACCTGGGCAAAATTCTGGAGTTACAAAGAAATCTTAAAGTCGAACTTTCCTCAAAAACTTAAAAAGAAAGTTTTAGATTCATGTATTTTACCTTGTCTGTATCTGTCCTATGGAAGCCAAACTTGGATATACAACACCTACACAAAAAGAAAAATTTAAACATGCCAGAGAGCTATGGAACGAAGCTTACTTAATCTGAAACGTAATGACAAGAAACGAAATACTGAAATTAGAAAAAGAACAAATGTTATAGATAATCTATCTCATTGTAAGAAACTTAAATGGAAATGGGCGGGGCATATTGCACGTACGGAAGATAAAAGATGGACTAAGAAGGTCACTACATGGGCTGGCCCTACTGGAAATCGAAAAAGAGGTAGACCTCTAGAAAGATGGACGGATGAAATTGAAAAGTTTGCTGGAGATGATTGGATTTCAGTGGCCAAGGATAGGGAAAAGTGGAAAAATCTGGAGGAGGCCTATACTCGTAGAGAGATCCTTAACAATAATTAGATAAATAAATAAAAAAGTAAATTAAAAATTATTGATTTTAACGATAATTTTATCTTATTTAAATGTATTTTATTTCATGATCTGATTATGTTATAGTTTTGTTTCTAATTTTAAATTATTTAATGAAATTAATAATTAATGAAATGTATTTTAATAATTTTGTTAAGGGAATAAATGGCTTTATAAATATAATTATATATATATATATATATATATATATATATATATATATATATATATATATATATATATATATATATATATAATGGACCATAGGGGAATAAAATATTTTTGCACTGGATAAAATTCGCTTCAATTTTGAGTTGTTTCTGTTGATATTAGGTAATGTTTTAGTGAACTTATTTAAGATTGTATTACTAGTAATAGTTACTTACGAAGGATTTCATGATGCTTTTAGAGCGGTTGGTTTCTCTGGAGAGCGGAAGTAAAATGATATTCAGATAGCTTTCCGCGCCGATATATATATCTCTCCAGTGCTCGATATTTCGCAAGGCGTTCTCGCTGAGCAAACTCCAGTTACAATTTTGCACTTATGACATTGTATTATGTATATTATTTGTTAATATTAAATTGTCAGCGAATTTTATATCACATTTGTTTTATAGACCCTTTGTCTTTCTAACATCTTAAAGATGCATAATATTGAAAATTTCCCATTTAGACGACAGAGGGAAACTAAAAGTAGATCTGCCCATCTATTTTTAGTTTCTTTCAGTCGATAATAAAAACTGTGGTTGCCAACCCGCCTGCCAAGTGTTTATGACACTTGTCATAGTTGTCCTATGGGAAATGTCGTCGTTAAATTGAATTAATCAAGCGAGCATTCAAGTTCCAGGCAGAGATTGTTCTGATGTTCTTCATTTCATGACTCAACTGAATGCTTCTTGTAAAAGACATCAACGCGTATAACGTAAGCGATCGATATTAAAAATGGTAACATTTAAGTTACCATTTTTAATGTGTGTGTAATGTTAATTTTTCACATTCGATTTATAACTATTGTTATAAACAATAAATGATTTATTTTAAAGTGATACAAGGTAATTATATAAAATGGGTTATTACAACATTTTAGGGATACGTGAATAATAAATACTCATGTGTGTTAGTGTCGCCAAGCTGGTTCTAAAATACTTAGAAAATAAAAATAAAAAAAATATAAAGATATGTACGATTTTATTGTACTGTTATTAAAACTTCCGCTGGGTTGATAGTTATAGATAGCACAGCGTTTCTTGGTTCAGTGGTAAATAAAAGAAACATGTGTGCAGTTCACCTGTGGTAGATGTGAAATCTCCAAATAAAATGAAATATAAAACAATAATATTTCACAGCAATTGATTTATTTAATTTAAAAATTTACAACCATAAAATGCATAAAGATACATAAAATATAAAATAATTTTTTTATTTTATAGCAAATAAATGTTACAAACCTTACTTTTAGAAATGTAGAGCCTAAATTTTAGTGTATTAAATCAAAAGAGTATTTTCTTTCGACTAAAATTGCTTTGTAATAGCGACGTCTACTTTATTTCATAAGTAAAATCATTTTCTCGAACAAAAATTAGATAGCCTATACACGACTAATATACCAATGAACTATATTATAAATCGGTAACATACAAGTATTATGAAATTGTGAATTGTTAAGAATGGTTTGGATATGAAAATTTTATTTAAAATAATTAACTTCATTTATTAAAAAAGAAATTATAGTTATTTTTATTTTCAGTTTTCATAATTTTTTATACCATGGGTCCAAATAACATGATATAAAGAGCAAAGTTTACCATAATAAAATTATCTTGATGATTAAGCAACTTTTGATCGTAATGATATGTCATGCCTAATAATAAAGCTCACAAATCACTTTATATTTTCAATTTTTTTTGTTACAAAATATCTTTTTGTGGCTTATGTATAATATATAGACTTACGTTATCTCGGATTTTTCTTAGATGGAGGAAAGATCTATATTTTGTACCACACAGTATTTACGTATCATTAACCATTATTAGTACAGATTCTATCTCATTCTATCTAATAGAGCAGTATTTTTCAACCTTTTTGCATTCTCGGCCTCTTTACAAATAACAATAAATTGGTCGCAATGGGTCCATAGTGAAACTATGTCAGTGATTTACAAAAACGACGTACTGTTTAATTTTCCTGTGGTAGCTCATTGACTAAGAGCTCGTTGTTAATTTCACAGTACGCGAGCAACCCGGGTGTGATCTCCGCCGGCATCAATGAAATTCTTAGTTGCAATTTCAAATGATGATTTACAACGTGCTCGGCGGTGATTAAATAGATAGTAAAGAAACCTGCTTGTCTGAGAAATTAGAAAAAAATTGACGATTGCTGCAGACGTTGCCATGCCCTAAACCCTCTCAGAAATGAGAGGAGGCCTGTGCTCAGTAGTGAGACGTATATAGGCTCAAATTTTATACAGTAATATATATGGTAGTTAGTTTTCCTTCTATTGAGACTCTACTTACCATTGATCGAGAAATCAACCTAAATATTTTAAAAAAGAGCTAGACACAGAAGAGAAAACATTCTAACGGACAAGGATAAAATCATCGGATTCCTAGCAAAACTTTGTTTGTGTTCAATATCTTCACAAAATATGGTGTCTCATATACTTTCTTTTTCTTTCCCTTGCATTCAGAATGTTGTTGAAGAAATTGCCACGGTCCAGACGTTGTTAGTAAGTTCCTACATTCCTTGCATGATACAGAGCTTGCATAATTTGAAAATAAAACTAATAAGTTACTTTCCATAAACTGGGTTTTGCAGCTGATAATGGGCATAGATGGATACTTAATCTTTTTTGGATATGTCAATACAACTGGCTGATCTAACTATCAAGATGACAGAACATCTTATAAATTTTGCTGTTGACGGCATGCTCAAACTGGAATTTAATTTGCAAACGATTGACATCGTCTGTTTGAAGAGAAAGGAAGGAAATCCAGAGCTGGCAAGAGATTTGGAGTTATCCCGTGGATGTCGTAAAAGCACGACGCTGGAAGCAAAACAAGAGATGAGCTTCTAACTTCTTCATGCATAGCAACTATGATCAAATAATAGGCCTGTGTTCATGAACATTTGATAGGTTGTTATAGATGAATGAACAGAGAGTCAATGTTAATATATAGACAAGTTTAGCAAGTTTGGCAATCCATTCATTTCCCGCAATTTTCAGAGACGGTGCCAGTTCACCTTGGCTACTTTTCGAAATGTATCATGGGGAATCCCCAACCAGCTTCAGTTGCTTGGGTTTGAGGTTTTCTTGAAACTGGATTTTGGGTGGTTCGTTGAAAGAGGCTGCCAGAAAGTTAGGTGTCAGGTGGGATAGTAGTCAACCACAGGCTTATAACTGTTAAATAAAGAAATACCAGGAACAACTTTTAAATTTCGATAAGAGTTTATAATCATTTACCGTGTAGTGGCGATGTAAGGATATCCACTAACCCTATATAATCCCGTGGGTGTCACGGGAGGCGACAGAGAGAAACAAATCAGGAGATGGGTAGCAGCGTCTTCCTAATAACGACTAAAACCACTTGCGAAGCGTGGCAACTATGGCAAATATTCAGCAGTGGACTTTAACAGGTTGTAACGGTAACGTTATATAACCATCTCACGGTAGAGATTTATATATTTATATGCCGTTTGTATTTTTGCCGCCAAATAGCTGTGCGTGCACTTCTGTGTTTGGGGTCTAAAGTGTATAGAGAAGCAGATAGAATCGCACGCTGTGAGGCATTCCATGTTAGTCCTCTGAGGTGACAACGCATTCGTAGTCTTATTTGTTTGGAGTTGGTTGTAAGTATTCAGACCAGCGACCATGAAAAGTGTAAACTACTAGGTTGAGTGAAGAGTAATGTTTGAAACACACTAATAAAGTTTGGGTCCCTTGTGATATCTTCAAGACAATATAGGGAGCCAATTGATGTATTCTGTTCGAATATTGACACAACAATAGCATTAAGATAAAGATAAACAGATTTTTCTTCCGACTACAAAAAGAAGGAGGTACTCAATTCGACTGTATATTCTTCTCTTATGTGTGTTACCTCATAACGTTTTTCTACATGCACCGATCGATGATCCTTTTTTTATTTGAAAGCTGGTGCATCTAATGTGGTCCCATATAAGTTTGATAAAAGTCTGAATTATACTTTTTGAGTTATCCATGATTTTTTTTTGAAGTCGGTTGTACAACATTTTTAATTTTAAAGAATTTGATAATTATGTTAATTGTAATATAATATTGGTGTAAAGATATTTCCTTTATTATAATGCATCAAAGTGCACTGCTCTTTTATGTCACGAATACTTACAGTACATCTGATGGCAAGTGCCTACTGCATCCAATAGGCGACTGCAACCAACTTCATGCAAAGAAGGCTACCGGTGATTAGTTACTAAGATGGGATACAGGCTTTTCTTCCTTTTCCTTTTTTCTTGTTTAAGAAACGGTACCTCTACACTAGGAATTTCTCCTGTATCGTGGGGGCAGTTTACATACATACATTTTTTTTTATAGGATCGAGTGACAAACAAGCACACAGTCCACCTGATGGTAAGTGGTTGCTGTGGCCCATAGACATCTACATTTATCCTCGTATGCGAATCAAAATGCAGATGCGTTGTCACCCGTGAGGACTAAGATGGAATTCCTCTTTTCCAGTAAAAAGGGTCTTCGGTTCTCTACACTCACCATACGAAACACAGCAGTGTTAAACTGCTATTTGACGCTGGTATTCTGTAAGAGCGGGGTCCTTCCCCGGTCGAGCCGACCCATTCGTGCTACAACTATACTACTAATATAGCTGTAGCGTGGCTCTACCACGTATAAAACATAAAACAATTCACAAGGACAATCATACAGACCCGGAAAAATTATTTGAAGGCCATACAAATACTTGTTCCGTTCGGGATTTGAACCCGCGGCCCTTAGCGCTGCAAATCATTGCTAAGCCATTGCGCCACGGAGCCGCTTGTTATTATACTCTCTACACCGTATAGACCAGTAGTGACGCACTGCTGGTTACTGACAGAAATAATACTTTACTTTTTTCAACTTTGATTGCAAATTTACCTCTTTCTCGACCCCAAATTTGAACTAAAAGCAATCAAGGATTTGTCTGTTCTATGCATTTACTTATAAAAGTTAGCGGTGAATAAGATTTTTTTAAAAATTACATTAACATCAATGTCATTGTAAGATTGTAAAAATTCACTTCCACATATGTGTAATTTATAAAAATGTCCTCCAGACCAAATTTCGGTCACAGTGGCTAGTGTCGACGGAGACTAGCCATTTGCGCAGGACCCGATGATAACCGTGATGCATAGCTGTACTCTCTAATCCCACACTTTCATAGTCAGTAGGACGGTAATACAGCACGATAGATGAGATATCGGGCACAGGACCTACGGCATTATTTCCAAGGCAAAGAGGTGAAAACACCACCAACTTCCTGACTCCGGACTATTACTGAGAATTTTTTGAGAGGGAAACCCATAACTGATTTTGGTCCGACCAGGGTCTCAATACCAAGATTTTATGACCAGCAAACGCGTTTACTACCACGAGTCAGTCATTATATTAAAGATTTTTAGATAAAACATAAAACGGTAACGGGACATAATAAAATTAATTTATAACATGTGAAAATATATATTATATTTAGTTATTACAATTAATAAATACTACAATTCCACAAAAAATCAATTAAAATCGCCTAATTACCAGCCGCTAGAGTAACCACCGTGTCCACTTCCGAATCCGCCACTGTAACCGCCACTGTGTCCGCCGCCGAGTCCGCTTCCGAAACCACCGCTGTATCCGCCACCGGAGGACACTAATCTGTTTTCAGTTACAACTTGGGGCACGGAGACGACCTTGTTTACGTTGATGACTTGGGGTACGCTCACAACTTTAGGGACGTTCACGACTTTGTTGACGGTGACGAGCTGAGCTGACGGCGCCGAGTAGCCGCTGTGGCCGGAGTATCCGCCGACGAGCGACAAACCGCCTCCGAGGCCGCCAGAGTGCAGCCCTCCGAGGTAGCCGCGCTTCTCGCGCAAGCTAGCACCGGTCGCACACGCCACCAGGCACAGTACTGCAATCTGAAAATAATGTTTTGTTTTTTACAGAATAAGAGTAACAAACGTGCACACATTCACTAAACGGTCTGTGGATGCTGTGGCATCTACATAGACATCTACATTTATAATCTTCTTCTTCTTTCTTAGTTTTATGGCCGCTCTTTTTAGAATTCTGCCAATGTTAAGTCAGTTACATTTATAATCAATTGAGAATCAAAATACAGCAGTTTCTATTTTACGCTGGTATTCTGTGAGAGTGTGGCCCTACCTTTATAGAGATACAAATAAAAATAAAATAATAATTCTTCACTTTATCGTTGAACATAATAATTTATTGGTTACAGCTTCATAAAAGTCCACTGCTGAAAACAGGTTTTGCCAAAGAAAAATTATCATTGTGATAGATTTCTATAGACACCAAGTTTGAAAAACCGGTCTGCAAACGCAATTTTCGTAGTTTTTATTTGTTATCAGAAAAATCCTGCTTCCCATGTCCTCAAATCAAACGATTTCAACTGTATCAATTCTTATGACACCCACGGGATGTTATGGGGTAGAAGATTCTCAAGAAATTGTGACGACTGACTCCTTGGTCTAGCGGTCTTAAGCGCATTTGCTTGTTATGTGGATTCGAATCCCGGGTCGGGAAAAAACCAGTTAGCGGGTTTTTCTGTCAAGAAATTTGCAGTAGAAGCCCAAAGTCAAGATGATGGCGGCGGTTCAACACCGTGCCTCAGAAAGCCAGATTTCTTCCGGTCATGTTGGATTGCCGCCCTATCCGACTATGGGTGTGAGAGAATAGAGAGTGTGTTTGGGTGTGCCCTATACACGTACACTATAATCCTGTCTTGCGCTGTGGCTAATTAAAAAAAAAATTAAATAGATTTACTTATAATCGATAAAGCTTATTTCATAAATAAATACATTTACGATTGCAAAACTAGTCATATTCTTCTGTTACAAAACGAAATAGAAATAAAACATTTAACATTATAACAATAATGGTGCAAGAAATAAATTGTTAGAATATTTTGAACTTTTCTATGAGTCACAAAAATCTGTTACCGTCTCTGTACGTATAGAAATGTATTTGTATTTCCATCCGTATTTGTGTCCAGCGGTGGAATGTATATTGCCGTAACTTAACTTTTTCTTCATTTTCTTATAAACATATCTATATATAGACTAGTGATCCACCCCGGCTTCGAACGAGTGATTTTTGGATCGTGACAACTGCGCCACTTACCGGGTTCTCAATTATCACTCAATTTAAACTATTCAAACTCAAACATACATATTACTCATTAAATCAGTTCAGCCGCCTAGGAGGATATCAGGGACAAAAATGCGCACAGGATAATTACATATATAAAAATGGAACATACGGGGATAAAATATTTTTGCACTGGATAAAATTCGCTTTAATTTAGGATTTGTTTCTGTTCATATTAGTTAATGTTTTAGTGAACTTATTTAAGATTGTATTACTAATAATATTTACTTACGAAGGATTTCATGATGCTTTTAGAGCGGTTGGTTTCTCTGGAGAGCGGAAGTAAAATGATATTCAGATAGCTTTCCGCGCCGATATATATATCTCTCCAGTGCTCGATATTTCGCAAGGCGTTCTCGCTGAGCAAACTCCAGTTACAATTTTGCACTTATGACATTGTAGTATGTTTATTATTTGTTAATATTAAATTGTCAGCAAATTCGATATCCTATTTGTTTTATAGCCAGTTTGTCTCTGTAACATCTTAAGGATGCATAGTATTGTATATTTCCTGTTTCATGCCGTGTGTCTCCTAAGACGAGGGGGGGGGGGAAATTAAAGGTAGATAATAAAAACTGTGGTTGCCAACCCGCCTGCCAAGTGTGACAACTATGGCAAATGTCGTCTGTATGGGGCAATATGTGGGTGGCATATTGTCAGTAGTAAACTTTGATAGGCCGTAATGATGACGACGATGATGAAATAAATGTTAGAACTCCTTCTTTTTCATAAGAGTTTTCACTTTTTTATTTTCACTGCAAAGCAGCCGTGTATTTATTGCCAACTAAACATTTAAATAAAACTAGTTTTATGGATTTTATCGCGTGTATTAACTGATTTTATATTTCCGATGTTTCGAGTACTTTACAGCACCCATGATCATTATGTTGAGGCGTATGACGTCCCAATGTCATAGTTAACCACGGCTACCTCCAGATTTTTTTTTTTTTTTTTTTTTTATAGGAGAGGGGGCAAACGAGCATGCGGCTCACCTGATGGTAAGTGACTACCGCCGCCCATGAACAACCGCAACACCAGGGGAATTGCAGATGCGTTGCCGGCCTTTTAAAAAGGAGTAGGCTCTTTTCTTGAAGGTCCCTAAGTCATATCGGTCCGGAAAAATCGCTGATGGTAATCGATTCCACAAGGAAGTCGTGCGAGGAAGAAAACATCTTCTAAATCGCACAGTGGTGGACCGCCAATCATCCAGATGGTGTGGATGGTATCGGGAGTTCTGCCGCGATGTACGTTCATGAAATTTGGCGGCTGGGATTAATCCGAACAATTCCTCAGAGCACTCCCCATGGTAGATGCGAAAGAAAATGCAAAGAGATGCAACATCTCTTCGCAGTGCCAATGAATCGAGCCGATCGGAAAGGGCTCGGTCGTCGACGATTCGAGCCGCTCTGCGCTGGATGCGGTCAAGTGGAAGGAGCTGGCACTGGGGAGCCCCTGCCCAGAGATGGGAACAGTATTCCATGTGAGGCCGAACCTGCGCCTTGTAAAGTTGCAGGCGGTGTGCCGGCATGAAATACTGTCCCGCTCTGCTGAGCACGCCAAGCTTTTTAGAGGCCAATTTGGCCTTCTCTTCCAAGTGGCCACGAAACTGCACGTCACTCGATATCAGATTAAAAATTGTTCCGAGCTACGCAGTATGAACTTACAGTATCTTGAAATATTGCAGTTGTATGTTTGGGTTGGGATTTAATTTTTATAATTATGAAATCCCAAGCATCTGCTTAGCACCTAGTCATCTTCTCTATTGAAATTAGGATGTTTTTTTATTTTAATAGCCTCGCGAATCATCCTTGGAAGGAATCGGTGTTCTTTAGCGAGGATTTGTTTTCTATCAAATCTAATGTAGTGACGGGGGCGATCCTGTATGTGTTCACAGACTGCAGACTTCCCGGAGCGTCAATTCTTCACGTGCTCTTTAACGCTGGTTTTTATGGATCTTTTAGTTTGTCCTATATAAGAGAGACCGCATTTACAATCAAACTTATACACTCCTGCATCTTGCAGGGGGACATTACACTTGACTGATGGTAAAAACTGACTAGTCTTCTTCGGCGGCTTTAAGTATGTTTTAATGGAAGCACGCTTCAAGATGTAGCCAATCTTGACACCTCCTACATATGGCAGTAAAGCAGGCACTCGCTAGACTGTGGCCGGCTTCACTCGTTCACTGTGACGTAGGCGCGGAACTCGAAGCTTATTGTCGTACAAAACTTGCTTGAGGCGTTGGAGGTCGGCGACCAGGTGTTTACTGCCACAGATCTTTTTTCACATTCAGATTGACGGCTCCGTGGCGCAGTAGCTTAGCAATGAGTTGCTGCGCTAAGGGCCGCGGGTTCGAATCCCGAACGGAACAAGTATTTGTATGGCCAACAAATAAATGTTCCGGGTCTGGATGTTTGTCCTAGTGAAATTTATGTATGGAAACTGCCCCCACGATACAGGAGAAAACCCTAGTATGGAGGTAACGTTTTTTTTAAAAAAAGAAAAGAAAGATCCCTCGTGCTCTATGAAACAAAGATTTACCCACGGTAACTAACTGTGAAGGATGTATGGGTCTTCTTTCTATACACAGTCTTGCTCAAAGTGTTATTAAAGTACTTGAAACATTGAGTTATATGTACTACGTACTAGAGAAGCCATTCCAAACAAAAATTGTGTCCTACTCTATGTCTTCGCTCATGCGCGGGAGTAGTAGTCGCGCATGCGCGAAAACTTTAATTTGATATAAAATCAGATATTAATATAAAATAAATATAAGAATTTAATATAAAATATCTTAATTTAATCTAAACAAACATATTTCTAAATAAAATGTAATAATTATTATTTTATGGAATTCACAAATCTTAAATTTACGCAATATTTATTGTAGTTTGTTACGGATACGAATACGGATTGCAGTACAGTTCAGTTGAACATAGTCAATGTTCGGAATGGCTTCTCTAGTACATAGTACATATAACTCAATGACTTGAAACGTCGGGAATGTAAAATAAGTTAATATACGCGATAAAATCCGTAAAGCTATTTTATTTGAATGTGTAGTGTTCGCGTAAATATAAGAAATCATCATCTTAAGGTTGTGAGGAATTTTATATAGGACTTAAGGGACAATAGCACTCTGTCTGTTAACTTTGTGTGGGGATGTATGCAGGCATTCAAGGATTGTAATTGTCACTTACTATCAGCCAGACTATTAATTAGTAAACAAAGTGAATTATATAAAGCAAAAGAATGAAATTACATTGACGACTTGGTAACTCAATGGCTAAATGATAGTTAAATTATTAATAATTATAATAATAATAATTTAATTAAATTAAAGCTGGTGGTTGCGGGTTCGAATCCCACATACAACAAGTATTTGTATAGGCAAAAAGTAATTTCTTCCAGTATCAATGTCGTCTAAATGAAATTTATGTAAAAAGCCTTAACGATATAGGAGAAATTTCTGGTGTTTTTTTATCGTGTAAGGACAAACTAACATACAAGTAAGTGGGTGAGTGGATGCTATGGCCTATATATACCTCCATCCATCTTCAATTAAGAATCAAAATCTATATTTAGTAGTACCTTGGGGACTAAGTTAGAATGCCTTATTACCAGTTAAAAGTATCGCCGATTCTCTCGCATTATACGAAACGCAGCTGCTTTTTTGAAAAGTTGCAAGTGTGCTGGCATGAAATACTGTCCCGCTGGCCAATTTAGCCTTCCCTTCCAA